AACCTTATTACAGAATTTGTAATACACATCACCGGTGATCCAAAGTTGCTAAGAAACTAGTGTGACAGTTTTCTTTAGCACTGTATTTACTGTATTTTACTTTTGAGTGCTTTTAAAAAATATATTTTTTGCTTTTGTTTCACCATACTTATTATCAGAAGCTATTGCTTTTTCCAGAGAAACAGTACAATAGATCACACATTTGGGTGTTTAAATAGTTACGTGCCCATCTGGACAGTATCACCCTACTGACTTACAAGCCCAGCCTTTACTCACCATATAGGATGAGACTTGTCCTATACAGGAGGATTTTCAGACACATTTCCAGTTATTTATATATTACTTAATGCACGTATTTGCTGTTCAGGTGGCTCCCACTCACGTGATACTGGATTCCCAACAGCAATCTGTGAAACAGCCTCAAAAAGGCTGTGCACTATCAGTTGTATCTGATAACTGTTATTCTTCTAAGACAACATATCGCATTTCTTTTGTTCCTCCAATTGCTTCTGCAGAAAGCTGAAAAACCATACCGTCCTGAAGAAATAATGCTTTACCAATCAGTTCTGTAACTTGACATCTGAGGCCTCACATTGTCAGGGAACAGAGGAGGAATTCCTTTCATATTGTTAAAAATCAACGTAGTAGCATTGTGACATTCTTCTGTACATAGTTAACAGGCTGGTTGCAATAAGTGATCATGTCCATTTCTAGTTCCAAATATTTAAAATAACATTGATGCTGTCACCTCATTAATTACATGACAGCATCCCATTGCAGTAAGGTAGTCTGAAGTCTTTTTAAATTATTAAAGAAGGAGAAAAGCCTCTAACTGTGATTACAACTCACCTATCTGAGTTTTGCAGAAGATCTGTCTCAGCACCTTCTGGAAGCGAAAGGACCAAATCTAGAAGGGAGATCAGGTGATGTCCTGTAAACCAACTATTGTCACATGCCTTCTGAAAAAAATGACACAAATAGTTTAGCTGAATGAAAAATTTAAATCTTAACAATATCTTAAATAAATCTTAAATAATTTTACAACAATTTTGGGAAAACAAAAGAAAAAAATCAAACACTTGAAGAAATATTTTCTAATTACTATGTGATTGAAGTATACAAACTAGTCTTCTCATAATCCTCCCTACTTTGTCTCTCCACACCAAGCTGTTCTTTTCGGTTTCATCACAATAGATTCTCCACCTCTTCACCATACCACCAATATACTTAATTTTGTTTACATAAACTTAGCAAATTTTACTAGGCACTCTCTTTTTTTATACTGAGGTATGGAACAATTAGGTATCTTTAGCCAAGACTCTATAAATTTCATAATAGTAGTGTCACTTTTTTTTTTTTTAAGATGATCAGGTGTTTTATTTTTTCTTTGCATATTTCTAAACCCACAACCCCTAGCAATGCTTGCAAGTAAAGTACACCTTTACCTCTATGGTTCTTTGATGGATGAAGAACATGCAGTTACTTTCTTTTGAAAGAGGGAGGTGGGAGAGGCCAGGAGGGAGAATCATTTAAGCATAAGATGGCGAGTACTAGGTTTTGAAGTGGCAGAATGTAATTACTCTCATGCCCTCTGCATCACTCACAGACCACTCAATGTTTTCACAAAAATTCCCCTAAATTACAACAAATTATGAAGTGAGGAAAGACAAAACCACAAAAAACCACATCTCTCACTTGCTTAGTGGAAGTTTTTTAAAGCCCTGCAGCTAAGACCCCTGAAAATTCCCTCTTAGTGAGGATGGTTGAGCCTCCCTGCACTGCTGCTAACTTAAGGGTGTGCACATTATTCACAGAGTCATAGAATGGTTTGGGTTGGAAGGGACCTTAAAGATCATCTAGTTCCAACCACCCTGCCATGGGCAGGGACACCTCCCTCTAGACCAGGTTGCTCAAAGCCCCATGAGGTTCGCACAGGCCCGTCTCTCAAGAGCAAGCGAGCACGCTGTTCTCTGAAAGCTTCATGGCCTCGTCAAAAGGCTATTTTATGTCAGTGCAATGAAGCCGAGAGCATGGAGTTGTTGCAAAGATCCCATGTTGGCAAAGTCCTTATCTCAGGTAAAGTGGGGAAGGTTGGGGGAAGAGATCTCAAACACAGGACAAAAGCTAGACAAGAGAGGAAACTGGGACAAAGGCAGAAATGGATTGTAAGGAAAACTGAGATTAGATAAGGAGATGAGAAGGGTAACCGGTGTGTTAAGTCACATCAGATGAGGGTCCTAGACAGACCAAGACTATCTGGGCACAAAAACTAAGATGAAATGAATGGATAGCAATAGGAAATTTTTATCATTACGTCTCTAGCAGGATTCTTTGCAACAAACCTATAATGTTCAAATTAATATAATGGAACTTTAAAATTGTAGGTCTTTTTGACAGCCAGGGAACTCTACGCAGAAGAAATGTAGTAAGAGAATTCTGAAGCTGCATAGTCAAAAAATGAATTAGTAAGGAAATTTCAGAATATACTTTTACCTATTAAATTTTAGTGCAAACACCTTTTGGAACAGTTTGTACATTATCATCTTCTTCACCCTTGCCGATTCAATATACATGACAGACTATGATCTAATAAATAGTAATTCACTGTTTTCTAACATAATTATGCTAGCATAAAATATGCATAAATTTACTGTATTGTCCAGTTTGACAAAAGGCAGTATCCTTGAGAATTAAATTTGGTTTCAAAAAGGCTCTGACCAGTTTGGGAAGGAAAAAAAAAAAAAAGGAGAGGAAAAAAGAGTTAATCATTTATTTTTAATTAATTTGTCCAACTTCCTGGTATAAATGATCATAAAATATGAGATTTAAATGTCTTTGATCTAGCTCAACCCTTTGTAATGAACTTAACATTTGTGAAGCACTCATAATGCTGACTGTCATCATAAAAACCATGAAAAAACATGATTAATTCTGTCTGGACTGTAGCATTTAAATTAGATTCAAGAAATTAGGAACTGTGAGGATAAAACAAAATACTGAGTAGTTCCTCTTTAAGAAAGCAGCATGTATTTTCAAGGTAATAATAACTTATTAGCAAAATACAATAAGATTGTGCAATTAAAAATACATTTGTAAAATTATAATGTAAAAATACATATGCAGAAAAAAGCCAAATTAACAACTTTAATTATGCAATTTCCCAGTCTTATGTTTCTTTTCAAAGTGGATTTTTTAATGCATCACTCAAAGCTTAAGCTGTACACATTTTCTCAACATAATATTGATCGAATTTTGAGATGGCAACTTGTTTGTTAGTGGTAGTAGCCTCACCATTAACGATAAGTGAACCTGATCTTTTATATTTTTAATAATGTATCCTTCCACACCAGCATGGTTGCTTGTCTTCAGTAAACACCTTCAAAAAAAAAAAAAAAAAAGAAAGAGATTATATCTTCAAAGCTGCCTATATAGTTAGCTCAAAACTTAGATGACATTATGGACTTATTCACTAAGTGGGAGTTTTACCACAAAAAAGTGACTATGCAACCTTTAAACACTTACATAAGATGTAAGACATAAAGCTTACATAAGACAGCTGATTTTATGTGAGGCAACTGAAATTAATGATTTATTATCAATCAAAAATTATTAAATTGAAAGTGAAATGGATTACTAATTATTTATCCAAAAATTAACATTGTAAAATTAATGTGGTTTACTAGATAGAAGCTGTCAGAAATCATTGTGTAATATTGCAGCTTAATTGCATAGATACAATCTACAATAATTTGGATGCATACCTGAATAATGTATACTTTCCCTCTGCATCAAACTTGTCTATCAACAACTGCAAAATATTTAAACTCTTCTTTCTCTAAAGAAAAAAGATGTTATCAGATTAATTCTAATTAAATAAATTCTGCACTTAGCTGATTCTATAGGTCACACTACATACCAGCTGCTCTATGGGACAAAGCGTCATAACTTTCACCAAAACCTGCAGTTGAATAAATAAAACATAATTCCTCATTACATACAGATTACTACATTACATCACACTGACTAAAATCTCCTCAAGACATTAAAAAAACCCACCCAAACCCAAACACCACAACCCACAAAACCATATGCCTATGAGAAGATTCTCATCAGAGAAATTCACATCAGCTTCAGTGGTTGCAGTCCCAGGACTAATACACAAGAATACTAGTCTCATACTGTTGGGTCCAAATAAGAATTTAGTCAAGCAGTAGATTTGAAAAAAAGAGGCAAAAATGAGCAAGCATCATCTTTCAGGTAAGATCAGTGCTCACCTGCCTAAATGGCCTGTACATACATTAAGTATATCTTAAGTGTCACTGAAACTTCATGCCGTAGCAGGTAGAAAAGACAATAATTTATTTATAGCAAGACACTACAGGTTTCAATTTAAGGACACAAGTGTGTAAAGGTTCATTAGTATGTCCTCTCTCAAACAGCTAGAAGACAGCTAGGTATTATTTATAATCAAACTTAATAAAGACTTCTGTACATCGCTTCTTATTACCTGAGGTGTGTTAATAAAATCTCTGAATTCTAAATACTGATGGAGAAGGCTATTATCTTCCATTCTCAATAAACAGCTCTCAAACAGATCCTGCAGGTGGGGGAAAAAAAAGCTGCCAACATTTTGCACATGTATAAGACATTAACCTATATGCTTAACATTTCATGGCTAAAACCCTCTTCACTATAAATACTCATTCGCATATCCACAGTTCCTAGGAGCTACAAATGTAGGTGATAATGGTAGTTTAAAGATTTATGCATGTGTGTAAAGTTCAATAAATAAAAGTGTTTGTAAGACTGAAGAATAAGTCTCAATTAAGCCTCAAAATATTTCTGAAACTATTATCTGAACTATCATTTGTACATTTCTTAGAAAGGAAAACTAAAGTTTTACCATTACTTAAATTGGAAAAAATAAACATTCTAACACAGAAAACTTACAAGTCCTTTAGATAACATAGATTCTTCTGTTCTAGAAAAAAAGGAAACATTATCAAATTTAAGTTGTTAATTAAAAAGACACTGTTGATATTTCATAAGAAATACTAGAACAGAGATCAGAAAGAACTTGTCCCTCAAAAATTTGCTTTCTGTTTTCTAAATATAGTATCTTCATTATTCCTCTCAAAGATTTTTAGAATAAACTGGCTGATGAAAAGTTGAAAATTAGACTCCTCTCTTCAGGGTCAAAAATTACATTTTTTCCCCCAATATTTATAAATGCTCAAAAGCAGTATCTCGTATCTCACAGATATCATTACACTGATTAACAAAGAAACTTTAACAAAACTTTTCCCAGATGATTCCATTTGCATAGTTCTGCAAGCCTAAGAAAAACACAGCAGATCCTAAACTGAAGAGACCAGGAAGTTTTGTTTAAATTTTTCCAGGAAAGGATAAGCAGTCATAATAGGAAACTTCCCTTCTATAGCAGTGCTAGAAACTATTTGCTCAACACTGCTGCTTATAAAAGGTGAAATAATCACAATATAGAGAAAAGTCTGGTTTCCTTTAGAAAGCCTGACCTTTAATCAGATTGTGTACTGTATCAGAATACATTCACATAAATACTATCATGATAGTCTTCTCTAGTAGTTTCAGAATAAAGTTTCTAAAAATTATATCATAATACAAGCTCAAAACAATAAAGAAATGTTTCAGACAACTTTTTATACTTCTTAGTAAAATAAGCCATCTTGCCATTTTAACTCTCAGGTTTAAAAATGTCCTCTGAACTTATCTGACATATTCAAAATTTGATTCTATAAATTACTATTGTCCTGGTTTCAGCTGGAACAGAGTTAACTTTCTTCATAGTAGCTAGTAAGAGGCTATGTTTTGAGTTTGTGCTTAGGAGAAGGCTGATAACGTACTGATGTTTATAGTTGCTGCCAGGACAATCAAGGACTTTAAATCTTCTCTACTGTGCCAGCGTCTGCAGGTGCAGGAGAAGCTGGGAGGGAGCACAGCCCCAATTACTAGCCTAGGATTCCACTTTAGGTTTAGGATTGAGACTCAAATTGGCCATATCATGCATGTTGTGCCCAGTATATAGATGAGGATCTGTCTGGAAGTGCTCTCTCTTGTTCTGGTTTACCTCCGCCTCTTGGACACTTGGGCTCTTATCTCCATTCCGGGATTGCAGCTTCAGGACTCTTCCTGGTCCAGGATTGTTGGCCAGGAGCAGGCTGAGCCTTGGTCATTGAATTGTGAGCAGTATCACTGTGTATCACTTATTTGTGTATACTACCACTATTATAATAATATTATTTACAATATTATTGTAGTTTATTTATTAAATTGTTCTTATCTCAACCCACAAGTCTCTTTTCCCTTCATCTCTTTAATTCTCTCCCCCACCCCGGGAGGGGTGAGGGTGAGCGAGTAGTGTTGTACTGTTTTGCTGCCAGACAGAGTAAAACTACAACAACTCTAAAACATCACACTCACTACGTAGAACTCCAAATACCATAAATCCTACCTTATCAGTAGCACTTCAATATGCATCATATTGCACTGCAGAAGATATGATGGACTAAAAGAGAAAAATTAGGTTTACCTTAAACTGCATGAGCCATATGCATTTTCATATAGTTAATGTATTTGACAAGATTAGCCTTTTTTGGAAAAAAAAATAAAAATATCTTTATGAAATTAATAATTTTGAAATAGACACAAAATAGTAAGTCAAACTGCTGTTAATAACTCTTATGTGGAAACTGTCTATAAATATGCAATTGAAAATTCAATACATGTTAATTTTCAGCATGTGACTAATCCTACCAGTCTCTTTAAAAAAGGACAGCTCATCTAAAAGGAAACTGTAATAGAGTAATCTGCAGGACTGCACTATGTTCTTATGTATATAATAGAAGCTCCTTAACGTATAAATGCAAAAAGGGTTGACATAAAACTAACAGTAGTAAAATACACAGTTTTAATTCCTAACTATTCACAAATAGGAAGTTTTCTTCTGCTCAAAGAGAATCTTCAAAGTACAGACTTAGGATAAGTAAAGAACATAGTTCTTACCTAAATACCATTGGAAGGCAATCAATACCAAAATGCTGAACAAATATCAGGTATGAGAGACATGCCAAGGAATCTGCAGAATTATTTCGCTCTATGTCTGCAAACTCCTGATTCTCCCACTGTGGCCTTTTGTCTTTACGATGTAAAAACACTAATGGTATCAGTTCTCTTATATCCCACAAAATACCCTAAAAAAAGAAAGATAGATTGGATACAGTTGCCTTTAAAAGACCTGTATACCAATGAAGTTTCAAAACTTTAACTGTATTTACAGTAAATTCTCTTACATAGCACATGTATAAATTAATATAAATGTTTTGTATTTATGATACATACACATGCACAAAAAAGACCCTGCAGAAAAGATAACTGCTGCTAGAAGAATGTTACTGAGATAGCAAAGTCAAGCACTCAAAAGTTAGTAAAAGACAAAATAAAGTGACCCTGCAAAACCCTAGTTTGGCTCCCTTATCTACAATGCTATGAATAACGATAGCTTAATGATCACATTATGCTGCAGGACCCCCGCGTTTTTCGGATCACAGAATGCTGGTTTCTTTTCTGCTCACTAATCAATATGCAACACCATGTTTATCTGCTAAAGGCAAGCTCTGGTTTAACATTAGAATCACTCTGTATGGCCTTTCTATCCAGTGATGCACAACACAATGACACCCGGCTACTTCTCAAATACATAATACTGTAGCAAAGATGATCCTTTAGATATTCTAATAAATTCATACATCACCAAGAAAAAGAAGCAGTTAAAGCAAACTAGCAGCTGCTGATTCAGAGAGCAGTTCAAACTGGCTTATGAGGAACAGAACTGTCTCTACAAGATTTGTAATTTCCAGAGATGGGACCTGGAACTGTTCCAGACCTTCGTCTACCTGCATTATCTTACAAGACCCAATAAGTCATCCCACTACCAATAAAGGAAGCAAAATGAGCTGTAGAACAAATTATAGCTAATTCTGAACTTGACCACTGGTTCTGCAAACACTGGAGTTAATTTTGACTGCACTTACTATAATTTCAGTTGCAAAATGCCGAAAGGGATGTTCTTCAATGCCTTCAAGTTGCTCAAGCTGAGCTGTCAATAATGGGTACTTCAGGCTTTTCATACAGCTGAAACAAAAAGCGGTGAAACTAAATCACCAATAAGGTCAAAAATACAGACTATAATAGCGTAATTGATGACCAAATCTATACTCATATTAGCTGGTGCTCTTCCTGATATTCCAAGGAGAATTAAAAGAAAACCCAACATCTCCTGTAGAAGCATTCCTTAGACTTCACCTCCAGAATATGGTTATCCTCACTGTTGTAAATTTGAGAAGCAGAACATCAAAACAGCTTCACAGCACAGACCCTAATATTTCTTTACCATTTCCCCATACTAAAAAAAAAAACAAACACAAAAATTTTTACCTTTTTTCTCTCCCTTCATAAATACGTAAGGCATATTTAGGGATTTTCCTTTTTTGAAATACCACATCAGTTAATATAAATTGGCAGCATTATAAAACACTAATAAGATGAGTTATTTACTGCCTATGCAAAAATGCTTACTGTTCATTTTGTTAAGTCATAGGAATATATTACACTAACATAAAAGGCTCACAATTTTAATAATTCTTCTTTCAGCTCCATGTCATTGTATTCTGATGACTCTTCCATGTTTTTAACTTCCTTCACAAAAGGCTTAACAAAGTCCACCACTGCATTGCAACATTGACAGAGACCAAGTTTATCTTCTTCTATTTGTTCTTTTGTATAAGGTACAGGTAAGGGAGTAAGCTGGTTCATAATCATGGCCAAAGATAAACCAACTGAGTAGGCCTTCTTGTTCTGAAGTTTCAAAAGCACTGGGGAAAGGAAGACAGAGAGAGAGAGAGAGAGATAGAACATTTTGAGACATTAAGGTATTACTTAGTAGAGGAAAAGAAAACATGAAGAAAAATAACATGACTACATAAGAAAGCCTTTAGTTTCAGGGAAGGAGGCACTGATACCTGAAATCACATGAGCAAATCCAGCAAGACTAAACATCAGCAGCTAGTTTAACATGCTGTAGTTAAGATGCCCATATATTTCAGAATGACAAATATTAAGGCAGTCTTGCATTTCAACACATTCTTTGTTTCTCTGTAGCACTGTGATGAGAACTGAAAAAAATCTGTCCTTCTAGAACTAGTCTAAGTGAAATAATATTCATTTATCTGACCTGGAAAATGGATTTATTCTTGCTTTATTGCTTGACTCCTTCTGTGCTTGGCAAAACCAGAGGCAATGGCCCAACCTTTCTGCTGAGATCTGACTCTACATGAAGCAGCTCAGAACTGTTCTATCCTCCATGGTAGAACCAACAGAGGGGCTCCCAGACTGAGGAAGCAGCACAGGTGGCTCTCCACTTAAACTGCAGCCAGTGCAGGCTGACTGCAGATTGGCTAGCCAAAAAACCACATACTTATAATTACCAAAATGCTTCTCTTGTTAAATTCTAACATAATTCAGTAACAGATCTCAGAGACTCCTACAGTCAGACTTAAAACTTGATACAAGACACTTGATTTCATCTCACATATCAAAACAGAAACTACTACTTGCTACCTACTTACTGGCTGTCCAAAACCAAAATTTTTAGTTTTCTTTAGTCTTCTGTAATCCAGAAGAATGCTTCCCCTCACTGATCAAATATTTCAACCTGCTTCAATCTAAAATACAAGTTCTGTACTATGAAACTATGGAATTGTACATTTTAAAAATTAAATAATGAAGAATTACACAAATCCATGTAATTCTCTATTTCTGTAACCGTATGAATGGTTTACACCTCGAAATATAACTGTCAAAAGACCATTCTTGTAAATGATCAGAAATAGCTGAATATTGCTTTTTCAACTGATGCTATTAATCTCATCTAAAACTTTTTCTAACAGGCCAACATAAACATGAAAATTAAGCCCCATGTTATTCTGCAGAAATGTAATAGACTGTAAAGCCTGTCAGGACAGACATATTCTGAAACTATTCCAGCAAAGACTAAACTAATTTGATAAATAAATGAGAAAATAATTTAATTCAGAAATCACATGAAAAAGTACATCTTACCTGTCTGCAAAGGCTGAAGCAATAACATGACAGTTTGGCACACTTGCTCTCCAGAAGTCTGCTCAATCTGCTCAAGTAAACCCAGAAAAAGTTCCTTCGGATTGCATAGCTGCAGGACAGGTACAATGCATATTTTTTAATCACCAGGGTCATAAGCTAAAAAATTCATTACAAGCAGACTTCAATACAGAAGTTCCTGAACATCAAGAAAGCAGATCTGAACATCCAAGACAACCTTTAAGAAAACCAACATGAAACAGTAAGTACTTCCCTACAATTAACATCTTCTGTATGTTTGTGTACACTTTCATATAAACTGAAAACATATCATAATAAATAATGACACTAAACGTGATTTTTAAGGTCTATAAAAAACTCACAGTGCCTTAGCAAATTATTCCTTAGGAGTAGGGAGAAAAGAAAAATTTGTGTGAATTTAACTCAAGCTAGAGTTTGCAAGTTGTTTTTTAAGTACATGAATGAAAGGGAACTACTTCTCTACAGATTAGAACTTTTTTCCCCTACTACTCCATCAGAATCAGTCATGTACTCATGGTCACACTGTATCTGCAGTAGACAAGAGGCAGTATTGCTGTGGCTTGACAAGTTCTATTTGCCTTTTTCTTCTGGGTAATACTATGTCTCTTTGCTTTGCTCAGTTACTAATTTCACAAGATTTTGAAGAGGTCAGTTATCTCTGAGAACATTAAGCCTATGTCTACTTCAGATGAAACTGGCCCAGGAATTTAAAAGTTATGAGAAATGGACAGAAGAACCCATGAGTATTCATGCTTTGTTTTCTTTGGAAATCACAGGGAAAATTAGGACCTCTACCTTCCCTACAATTGTTGTATTACAACCATATATTTCAAAAACATACCTGTGCCAACTGATCTAGTATCTTCAGGCAGTGTTCTCGCTTATCATCTTCCTGTTTATACATAAAAATACATCTAACAAGAGGAGAGATGAGATTCCAACCCATATTCTTGACGATAACCTAAAAATCAGATTTTCAGAGAATAAACCAAAACTGGGCATCTAAACCCAGAATGATTGTATACATGAAGGCCAAAAAAAAGAAAATTGATCAATGTCCTGGTTGGAAGCAACACCATAATAATGTCATTGAAAATTTAACATCTGTTACCATAAAATTCTGTACTTGACATTCTCTCCCCATACCTATAAACACAGCTGCATATTTCCTATAGTTTTCTTCAATGTATGAATTCTAACATGTCAATATATATTTCTAAGAATTTACATGACAATACATTTAAAACAAGACCGAGTAGGGAAGTTTTGCTGAAAGAAAGAACGCTTAGACAAATTATATTTAACCTGAAGGGATCAAGAACTTCAGTTCTTACTTTAAACTCACAAAACTCAAAACCAGACTGTGACCTCCATGTAACATTGCCAAAACATTCCATCCTTCACTTTCTTTCTGAACTTCTTATTTATCTGTGTACAATTTAGTATATTCTCCCAGCACCCCAAGGTGCCTACAGACATTTAGCATCTCCTACACTAGTATCACCCGAGTTGGCTCTTCCAGTTGTGGACAATATTATATCCATCTGTGGTGGGCTGACCTGAGACAACCACCAAGCACCCACCAGCTGGTTGCTTGTTCTCGTTCCCCAGTGTGATCAGGAAGAGAATTAGAAAAGCAAAACAGAGAACAACTCATAGGTCAAGATAAGGACAATTTAATAACTGAAGGACAAAAACAGAGGGGGGAACAACGCTAACCAACTCCCATCAGCAGACCAATGCCCAGCCAGTCTCCAAGCAACAGCTACTTTGGAATTAGTCCCCATCCCCATGTGTTCTTATTGCTGAGCATTAAGTTATATGTATGGAGTACCTCTTTCATCAGTCCAAGTCAGCTGTCCTACCTGTGTCCTCTCCCAACTTCCCTGCTTATTGAAGGGGCAGAGCAAGAAATGGAGAAGGTCTTGACACTGTGCAAGCACTGATCAGCAGTAGCTGAATGTGGTGGGTTGACCCTGCCTGGACACCAGGTGCCCTCCAAAGCTGCTCTATCACTCCCCCTCCTCAGCTGGACAGGGGAGAGAAAATATAACAAAAGGGTAAAGATAAGGACAAGCAGCAATCATTCAGCAATTACCATCATGGGGAACACAGACCTGACTTGGGGAAGTTAGTTTAATTCATTACCAAACAAATAAGAGCAGGATAATGAGAAAAAAAATTGTAAAAATCCACCCTTCTAAACAGGCTTAACTTCACTTCCGATTTTCTCTACCTCCTCACCCCAGCAGCACAGGGGGACAGGGAATGTGGGCTGCGGTCAGTTCATCACATATTGTTGCTGCTGCTCCTTCCACTCCACAGGGAGGACTCCTCACACTCTTCCCCTGCTCCAGGGTTGGGTCCTTCCCATGGGAAACAGTCCTCCACGAACTTCTCCAATGTGAATCCTTTCCACAGGCTGCAGTTCCCTTCCACGGGGTGCAGTCCTTCAAGAACAGACTACCCCAGCATGAGTCCCTTCTGCGGGGTCACAAGTCCTGACAGCAAATCTGCTCCTCTCTCCATGGGTCCACAGGTCCTGCCAGCAGCCTGTTCCTGCACAGGCTTCCCACAGGGTCACAGTCTCCTTCAGGCACATCCACCTGCCCTGGCGTGAGGTCCTCCCTGGGCTGCAGGTATATTTCTGCTCCATCGTTACCTCCATTGCTGCAGGGGCACAGCTGCCTCACCATGGTCTTCACCACAGGCTGCAGGGGAATCTCTGCTCTGGCCTGAAGCACCTTCTCTCTCCCTCCTTCTTCACTGACCTTGGTGTCTGCAGAGTTGTTTCTCTGACATATTTTCACTCCTCTCTCTGGCTGCAATTGCTGTTACATAGGGTTTTTTTCCACCCTTCTTAAAATATGTTATCCCAGAGGTGTTACCACCATCATCAATTGGCTCGGCCTTGGCCAGCAGCAAGTCCATCTTGGAGCCAGCTGGCATTGGCTCTGTCAGACATAGGGGAAGCTTCCAGCAGCTTCTTTCTCACAGAAGCCACCCCTATAGCCCTCCTGCTAACAAAACCTTGCCACGCAAACCCAATACACTTCAACACTGGTCTGTTATCAACACTGTTTTAGTTACAAATTTAAAACACAGCACCATACAGGCTGCCATGAAGAAAATCAACTCCATGCCAGCCAGACCCAGTGCACCATCTGAAATTCTGTCCTGCAAAAGAGGGACACTGTCACTTTCTTTATGCTTTTGTCCTCTCTTTTCGCTTTAACTCACTGAAATACAGTTATTAATGGTTTTGTTAAGATTATCATGAGTTGGTTTCTGTGAGCTACACCTGAAGTTACACAAGAATATGTATTGAACACAGAGCAACTTATTAACTACTCATATGTACAGCCTTAATTCACAGTGAAAGTGGCTTTTCTTTTTTAATAAGCAGTTTTATCTATTTAACTGTTAGTGCACAATTAATACACAGTGCAAACTTAAACTCACCTTATTCTTCTGATTTTGAATCACTTCTAGTAACTGAGCTGCATACCCATCTTCTAAACATTTCTGACCTGCTACCTGAAACCGATTAAAATCTTCTCCTTTGAAATCAGCTTCTTCCAGAATTTGCTAAAAAGAAAAATATGCCTGTTTAACTCCACACTTATAAAAAGCAAATAAAAAATAAGAAAATCTAAGCTTTAATTTCAAAATTAAATGTAGTGTCATTGTAACTTATTTTTTCTTATATAACATCTTTCACATACTGAAAAAGCTACCAAGAGCTACTACAGAAAACAAAGCAGTATTTCAATAGCACTACCTAAGCCTAGACTGCAGCATGTTGTTTGGAAGATGTATTTTCTACAGCCTGATAGCGCTTTGTTCCTTCAGACAGGTACTGCTGAGTACAAGAACACTTCTTTCTCCAAGAAGCAGACATTAACAAGCACCTTGGGATAAGCACCGCAGATAAGTCAATGAAACATGGAGGCTGAACTTAGCTGCCCAATGAGGAGTTCTGCTGACAACTGTCTTGTGTTTTGGGGTCATTTTGGTTTTAACTATAATATATGAAGAGAAGTGCGCCCTACTTACACTTGTTACTTTTATGGAAAGAAAACCACTTACACATCTTTGTATTATGGCCTGCAGTTCATCAACCGCCATGATAGTTTGACTTTGTTCTTCTGGCATTGAAAACTATTATAAATTAAAAAGTACAGTATTAAAACACAGGAAATAAAATGAAGACTGAAAAATAATCACATTATCAAAAAAAATGCCAACAGAGGAGTGAGAACAACCTAAATAAAGAGACATGATGAAAATCACATGATAAAAAAAAAAACCCAGCAAAATGCATTTTTAAGAAGTGTACATTGTTACCCTACTCCCCACACAAGCAGAAGACAGTATTACAGACAGGAAACAACCTGCATTCTATGTACAGAGAAGCAATTTTTCAGGTAGTATCAGGGTCATCTGAAGAAGTTAAGAGGCCTCAGCTACTACTTGGGCACATACATTGAAAACTGCTGCTAATACAGAGCAAGTCTGGGCTCACCGCATACCAAGCGCAGATACTCACGATAAACTACGTTACCTGTGACCATCCTCTCTAGAGGAGCTCCTGCTCAGTCGTCCTGACTGGAACACCCTGACCTGGTGCTCAGCTGATCCAACCACCATGCCCATTTAGATCAACAGCCCACTCAGGATTACAGAAGCAACATCATTTATTTCTTTCTAGCGTCTAGGCTGGGCTAGTTCAGTCACCTTTTACCTCTAGATACTATAATTTAAAACTTTCTTGCTAAAAACAATTAAGTTAAACATTTGAGTAATGTTAAGAATATACAAAGTTTTACATAGTCAGGATCATGGATTACAAATAAAACCAAGCTTGCTTATCCCACGTGATAGATCAGCAGCAGTCACAATCTTTATAGTTTCAAGTAATTCCACGTGCCTAAACCTGGTTAAATTATCACAAGGAGCATCAATTACCTCTACACCTGGATAATTAGCTAACTATTCATCAAAACACCCAAGTTCCATGTTTATACAGACATTTCAATGCAACATCCTCCTTCCTTCCTCTGATGTTTGACCTCACACAGTATCTAGATAACTGAGCTACCTGGATATTTACAAAATAACAGGCAACTTGCAAAAGCTTAAAAAGTATCTGTGCATGAATTTGATTATTCAAAACTCACTTTCTATTCTCAAAGGCCTATTTTAATACTTTTATGTCACTGCAATCTAGCCATGTCTCCAGCCTGTCATTTTAATTTGGCCATTATCAGACACTTTATTACCACACGTTGTATTACTTGAGCTCTTAATTTCACAGGATTTTACTAATCCTCCCAAAACAATTTAAATACACTTCTGAACTCTTAATATTCCTGTATTTTCAGCCCCCAGTAACTCTACAGCTCCGAAGCGTGCCCCGAGCACCCCCCGGGCTGTTCCGGGATTACCGGCTCAGATCGCAGGCGGCCTCAATACTTAACCCAGTTTCTAATTAAATCTTTTCAGAGGTTTCAGCGGTAAGTAGACAACAGGCAGCCCAGCACAAAGAGGCTGCCACCGTGAGCCTTTAACACACGGCGGAACTGAAAGCTCACGGGATCGACCGCCCGCCCGCCCCTCACCTCAGCGGCCGCC